GTCGGTCAGTTCACCGGGGCGGCGTCCGCGAACGCCTCTTATCTTCCTTTTTTTCTGCCGAGCTGGTGCCGGGCTTCCCCACAAATTTCTTGAAGTATCCATCTTGAATTAGATCCTCAATTTGGCGCTTCAATTCCCAGCAATCCGACGTGTTATGGTCGTGCTCCCGATGGAAGCGGCAATACTTGTCCTTGCTGCGCCTCTCCGGGGCTCCCCGAAGCTTCTCAGGACGTTTGAGGAGTTTTTCCATTCCAGACTCCTCGATGTTYGTTAGGATCTCGGAAATTGGAATCGTGATCGGGGTGAAGCGTTCATAAGGTCGGCTCCTGGTAGGTCCGTTTTCCGCCCTTCGATACTCAGCTCGGCCACTGGAGAAGGATCCCTTGTCCTTGGACTTGGGATCTGCCTTTTCTATATCTTTTCCACTTCTGCCCCGGCCGATCTTTCGTTCTGGTCGGCCGGTTTTGGTTCGGAGGAGCTCCTGTCCATCGATGACTTTCTTCGCCTTCTGAAGCACCTCAGCGAAGGTGGCCGGGGCCTCCTCTCCAAGTTTCACCGTGAAGGCTTCGTCGGCTAGACCGGTGAGAAAATAGCACATGGCCGAGTCATCGGAGCAGTGTGCGACCTTCAATTGCTCCTCCTGGAATCTAGTGACATATTCTCGCAGCGTCTCACCCTCCTTCTGTTTGATGGTGGCGAGATGGGTCGCTGTCTTTTTGTCATAATGCCGAGAATAGAACTGGGCGAGGAACTCCCTTCTCAGCTGAGAGTAGGTCGAGATCGACCTGGCTGGCAGTCTCCGATACCACAATCGCACGTTGCCAGTAAGCGCGATCTGAAAGGCACGGCATTTGATTGCGTCTGATTCCGCTTGGAAATCCATGAGGCCCTCAAAGACCTCAACATAATCCTTAGGGTTCTTTGACCCATCATAAGGTTTCACGGTAGGAGCTTTGAACTTCGGAGGGATCGGTGCTTCCAAAACGTCCGAGGTGAATCGCGATTCTCCCAGGTTGCCATCGTTCAGTGGACCTTATTTCTGCTCACATTTGGCCTTTAAGGCCTCAACCTGAGCATCGAGCTTGCCCCTCAGCTGGTCGAACTCCTCCCTTGTGATCATCCCTGCGGGAGTTGCTGGGTTGTGAGAAGATTCAGCCTGCTGGTTGGAACTCTGATGTGAGCAGGATGGTGACTGTCCTTTTCGGAAGGATGAGCCTCTCTTTCTGTTGAGATGCACACAGAGGTCTCCCCTCCGGCGAGTGTGTCTCTCGCTCTCGTTGTCTTCGGGATGTTCCTCCTCGACTGGGCCGAGGTGGGAACCCCTTTGCTTGCGTATGTCAACGCGCGTCACTCGATTTTCAGATCGGGACCCTGCGCCTGCAGCTAGTATCATTTCGTTATACATTTCCTCCATGGACCGCATTTGTGTGCGCATTGCCTCCATTTCTCTCTGGAGTGCGTCAAAGTTCTCACTCGTTGGAGCCGGGGCTGGACCCTGGGCGCCCTTCTTAGAGGTCCCACCTCGGCCACGGGTGGCTTTGGATGTCCTTGGGTGCGCAGGTGGTAGAACAGGCGCGGTGATTCGTGCCGACCTGCGGAGGGGTTCTGTTGCTAGGCCATCGTGACCTTGCCCCTCTACCATTGCTGCTCCGACCTCCCTCTGGTGGGCATCTCTGGCAGCTAGGGTCCTTCGATCTGCCGTATTGGTCGAGTTTGCGGGTTGAACCATTTTCGCTCTCATGTTGGTTTAACAGAATTGGGATGACTTAGATTGTCGACTCCCCACAGACGGCGCCAAATGTTTATGCAAGGATATGCACAACAGTGTATCTCTGATCGCAGCTCGAACTCGGTCTCCGGACCGATCTGAACACTTGGGCGGACCTGCACAAAA